GCTAGCTAACAGCACTTGCCCCCACTCACCTCATTCCGCTGTGAATTCGCCTGGTGGAAAATATCTTATTACGTTTGCGATCTCAGCTGAAACGCACCCCGTGACATTTTACTGTCCTTCATGTTTTTATTGCTCCCCTGCCTCTCTCTCTCTCTCCCCTGCCTGCCTCTCTCTCTCTCTCTCTCCCCTGCCTGCCTCTCTCTCCCCTGCCTGCCTCTCTCTCCCCTGCCTGCCTGCCTCTCTCTCCCCTGCCTGCCTGCCTCTCTCTCCCCTGCCTGCCTCTCTCTCCCCTGCCTGCCTCTCTCTCCCCTGCCTGCCTCTCTCTCCCCTGCCTGCCTGCCTCTCTCTCCCCTGCCTGCCTGCCTCTCTCTCCCCTGCCTGCCTGCCTCTCTCTCCCCTGCCTGCCTGCCTCTCTCCCCTGCCTGCCTCTCTCCCCCCTGCCTGCCTCTCTCTCCCCTGCCTGCCTCTCTCTCCCCTGCCTGCCTCTCTCTCCCCTGCCTGCCTCTCTCTCCCCTCTCTCCCACCGGTCCTCCCTTCTCTCTCGAATCTCTCCCCCCACTCTCTCTCTCTCCTCTCACTTCACCTCCCTCATTCACAATCCCCTCCCGAGGCCTTTTTGGGAATTGTTGAAAAGGGTCAGACAAGGTCACGTGACCCCAGAGGAGAAAGAGTAAATGCACCAATTACTTTTTGAGTCATTCATTCACTCATTCACTCACTGACATGAACACTACCGCCCCGCACAGAGACCCACAGTAAATTTAAACTATTTTACCAGGTAAGGTCCACTGAGCTACATAGCTCTTTTTCAGAGGTGACCTGCTCGCAAATGATAGCTCAACGAAGTGGCTTATGTGGACATTTATAGCAGCCAAATACTTTAAACGCATGTTGATACTCAACGCGGATGGGAAAAACCGGAGGACCCGGAGAAAGAATCCACGCTACCATGGGAAGAGAGACATGCAAACTCCAAATATAAAACAGCCGTCAGGGTCGGGATCGAAACCACAACCTCTTGCATACCAGGCGACGGAGATAACATCTCGCCACCTCGGTGCCACATACCCTTACACACCCACTGACACTCCTACCCACCCACCCAACTACTCACTGACACACCTCTCTACCCACTCACCGAGTCACCCATTTGCTCACCCACTCGGCCACTAGCACAACTACTCACTAACCCACTCACAACAGCCGCTCACCCCATGTGAATATATAGAGGCAGCGTCCCGACTTACGAACGAATTCGTTCCCGAGAGCCGATCGTACGTCGACCGGTTCTCGTAAGCCGGAACACAATAATATAAAATGTGTGTACTGTTCAACAACACAGGGAAGCGTTGTTAAAACCCACCGAAACCCACGAACTCCTGCGTACCAGGCGAGGGAGATAACATCTTGCACACACGCACCAGCTCCCGTCGAATTTCCAAACGGGGGTGGGCGGGCGGGCGGGCGTTGTCGCTCTTGACGGATAATCGCCATCGACGGAATATAATATCGATCAAACATCTGCCAGAGGTCGGCAATTATAAGGGGGGCCCCCCCGAGATGACGGGGCCTGTGGCGTTTCGTCCATATCTTATCAAACCCACCGCCCCACCCTACCGGGCGTGTGTCACACACGCAGAGGGCTCGGCTTCCCGCGATCGAACTCGTGGCTCCTTTGACTTTGGTCGGTAAGGTGAGCGAGTGAGAGGGAGAGAGAGGAGAGAGAGGTGGGGCGAGAGGGGGAGAGAGATTGAAAGAGCGGGGAGAGCAGGCGGGATTGGGTTGAGATGATGTGTTTATCTAGGAAAAAAAATTAAATTGGATTTTTATAAACATATGAGATTACAATGATCCACAGACTTAATAATGTACATAGATACCCACAGACGAACACAGAGACCCAGAGACTAACATAGAGACCCATATATACACACACAGCAACATATGCTTACAGAGAGCCATATACAGAGAACCACCGACTAATATTGAGACCCAGACTAGACTAACACAGAGACCCAGAGACATATACAGAGATCCACAGAAAAACATAAGAAACCCTAAGATATACATACAGCAAAACAAAGCTTAGAGAGAGCAATAGTCGAAGAACCACCTACTCGTATTGAGACACGGTGAATAACATAAGAGACCCATAGACATACATAAATCAAAACTCACACAGACCCATAAACTAACACAGATAACCATAGACTCAAGAGATCCAGAGTCTAAGAGATTCAGACTCGCAGAAGATCCACAGCCTTGTATAAGGCAACATCGGCACAGACCAATAATCTAGCATATAGACCCACAAACATGCATACAGTGAAGTGGACTTACAGAGACCCAAAGACTCACAGAGACCCATAGGCTTGCACTCATAAAGACACACAACTACAGAGTCATAGATTAAAATAGAGTGATTCCCCAAAACTTACTGACACATATATATACAAAGCAAGACTTACAAAGAGACCCACAGGCTTACATAGAGATCCACAGAATTACACAGAGATCCATAGACTTATATAAGAAACCCATAGGCACACACAGATCTATAAGCTTACATGGAGACCCATAAATTTACAAAGACATGGATGCATGTTGACTTGCAGAGAGACCACTAGACTCACAGGAATACCCATAGGCTCACACAGAGACCCATAGACTCGCATTGATACTAACAGACTCATAGGGACCCATATGCTCACACAGAGACCCACAGACCTACAGTTACCCACAGATTTACAGAGACCCATAGGCTCACAAAGAGAACCCATAGGATCACATAGATAACCCATAGGATCACACAGAGAACCCATAGAGTTACATACACCCATAGACTTGACTTCGACTTTGGACGGGCCGGGTAAGCGAGTGAGCGTGCAAGCGAGGGAGGGTGGGGGAGAGCGAGAGAGAAAGAGAGCAAGACAGAGAGGGAGAGAGAGAGGGAGAGAAAGCGGGAGAGAGAGAGGGAGAAATGGAGAGAAAATGGGGTTGCGGCGGAAGTATGTTGATAAATTAAATGCATGCAACATGGGGAGACAGTCACTTAAGTGAGCCTCTCGGGTCTGTCAGGGTGAGGGATTGTACGGGGCAACGTGAGCATGTGTGCATTCCAATGTATGTACCGGAATTACATAGACTCATGTAATAACCCATAGATTCGCAAAGAGATCCATAGACTCACACAGAGACCCGAGAGACTTACCGATACCCATAGATTTACATAGTCCCACAGACTTAAAATACCAGTACCTACAGAAATCCGTAAGACTTCAGAGAGTCCCAGAGAGGCTTACGCAGAGACTCATGTACATAAATAATAAGACCTCGAGGTGGAGGCACATCCACCAGCAGTGGCATGAGCAGGAAATTGCAAGGCTCAACCTTCACCATCAAGGTGACTCGCCGTTTTTTCCCCTCCCTCTCTCGGGCTGATGGACATGTCCATCAGCCCTTGTATATTTAATAACAACTATTGACAAACATTTTCACGATCGCCCACCCACTCATCCATCCACCCACCCGCCCACAAATCCACTAACCCACCCGGCCAATCACCCACCCACCCAACCACCAACCAACCCAGTCAACCACTGACTCATACATCAGCCCACAAATTCACCAACCCACCCACCCACTTGTTCACTCACCCACACACCCGGCAACACTCTCATTCACCCACCTATACACCAATGCACTCACCCACCCATTAATACTTTCACTCACTCATACAACGACTCACTTACACACCTGCTCACTCACTAAATCACACACACACACTTAACCACCTACCTGCTCACTCACTAAATAACCCACCAACTCATCCGCTCACTCACCCACCCACCCACTCACTCAGCCGCTCACTCAGCCACCCACCCAGCCACCCACCAGTCCACTCACTCACCCACCCACTCGTCACTCAGCCATCCACCCAGCCACCCACCAGTCCACTCACTCACCCACCCCACCCACTCGCTCACTCACCCACACACCCGACAACACTCACCCACCTATACACCAATGCACTCACCCACCCATTAATACTTCCACTCACTCATACAACGACTCACTTACACACCTGCTCACTAACTAAATCACACACACACTTAACCACCCACCCGCTCACTCACTAAATAACCCACCAACTCACCCGCTCACTCACCCACCCACCCACTCACTCAGCCGCTCACTCAGCCACCCACCCACCCAGCCACCCACCCACCAGTCCACTCACTCACCCACCCATCCCACCCCCCGCCAGCCCTCTCAATCACCCACCCACCCCACGAGCCAGCTAAGCGATATATAAATAAACGATGCATGTGAGAACACAAATCGATGGGAAATTAAACCAAAGCGCGCGACAAAACAATCACAGCTTAAAAGGAATCGGCTATTTGTTAAAGACGCCTTTCTCCCCCCCCCCACCTCTCTCTTTTTACTTTTCAAGGGGTGGGAAAAAAAAAGCACAGACACCGTTGGTTGTTTTTTTTGTTCTTTCGTCTAGCGCACGCAGAATTACCGCGAGGCTTTCAACCGCGTCGCCTCGCAAATCGAAGAGAGGTCCAGGTGCCACCCCCCCTCCCACACACAGTACCAAGCAGTAACCAAACCCCCTCTCCGCCCGCGAGCTCCCTCTACTCGCGAAAAGACCACCCGCCCCCCGCCACACGAGGGCCGAGTTCGTTGTTTGGCGAGCGAATGTTCTGGACACCGGTTCCCGGGGCTCCCCTAACACCTAGGTCGACTCGGCCTTAGCCAAGTCACTCCACGCGCGTGCGTCCTTGCTTACACCGTGGCTTTCTGGGCCTCCCCCTAGGTCGACTCGGCCTTAACCCGGGGAAACTCCACGTGCGTGTCTTCTTCACTGCACTGTTTGCTGTCGTTTGCGGGTGTGTTGTCGTTTGCTGTGGTTTTAACTTGCCGACCCGCCACATGCTCGACATCGGTGGAACACAAGAGCTTCGCAGCTCTTCTGATTCTGCATCCTTTACCTGCGCCGTGCACCAATCGTCGTGACTTTCCGGACCTCCCTTCACTCCCTCCTCCTCCTCCTCTTCCGCCTCCACCACCACCTCCTCCTCCTCCTTCACTTCCTCCTCGGAATTCTGGACCCCGGAAGGCATCCCTCTTCTCATCCTGGACCGGCTCAGGCTCCACCACCACCGTGCCTGCAAACCCCAAAGACAAAGACGGCTGTGTCGGGTGGTGAAGGGTTTTAGCGACGCATTTATATATTTACGCGATCTCACCAAAAAACCTCTTACGGATAAAGATCCCCCGTGTAGCCTTAACAGATTGTAGGAGCAAGTGCTGTTAGCGAGCACCTATGAAGGCCGGCATGGCACACAAAGGGGAGGGTGGCCAGCACCACGCCCGGCCGCCTTTGTCTCCCCAGTGTCGATATTTACACACCGCACCAGGTACTCATTTGAGGCCGAGTAGACCTAGGGAAGGCCCAGGATCGGTTCAGATAATCGTCACTGGTGTTGGCCGTGAGCGGGAATCGAACTCGGGTCGCCAGGTTCGTAGCGCAGCGTAGCGCTAACCGCTGCACCACCACTCCCCCCACACACAGACAAAGGTCGGTCACTCCCCTGTACAGCCTCAGGTTTACATGTCCAGGACTCAGGAGTTGTATGTACGTGTGTCTGTATGTATGCCGAACTTCTTTCGCAACCGTACGTAGACAACCGTGCTAATCGGAGGTGTGGGGGAAGGACAACTACGGGTCTCTGTGTGAGGAGTCTACGGGTCTCTGTGTGAGGAGTCTACGGGTCTCTGTGTGAGGAGTCTACGGGTCTCTGTGTGAGGAGTCTACGGGTCTCTGTGTGAGGAGTCTACGGGTCTCTGTGTGAGGAGTCTACGGGTCTCTGTGTGAGGAGTCTACGGGTCTCTGTGTGAGGAGTCTACGGGTCTCTGTGTGAGGAGTCTACGGGTCTCTGTGTGAGGAGTCTACGGGTCTGTGTGTGAGGAGTCTACGGGTCTCTGTGTGAGGAGTCTACGGGTCTCTGTGTGAGGAGTCTACGGGTCTCTGTGTGAGGCGTCTACGGGTCTCTGTGTGAGGAGTCTACGGGTCTCTGTGAGGAGTCTACGGGTCTCTGTTTGAGGAGTCTATGGGTCTCTGTGTGAGGAGTCTATGGGTCTCTGTGTGAGGAGTCTACGGGTCTCTGTGTGAGGAGTCTATGGGTCTCTGTGTGAGGAGTCTACGGGTCTCTGTGTGAGGAGTCTATGGGTCTCTGTGTGAGGAGTCTACGGGTCTCTGTGTGAGGAGTCTATGGGTCTGTGTGTGAGGCGTCTACGGGTCTCTGTGTGAGGAGTCTACGGGTCTCTGTGTGAGGAGTCTACGGGTCTCTGTGTGAGCAGTCTACGGGGCTCTGTGTGAGGAGTCTGTGGGTCTCTGTGTGAGGAGTCTACGGGTCTCTGTGTGAGGAGTCTATGGATCTCTGTATGAGTAGTCTATGGGTCTGTGTGGAGGAGTCTACGGGTCTGTGTGTGAGGAGTCAACGGGTCTCTGTGTGAGGAGTCTACGGGTCTCTGTGTGATGAGTCTACGGGTCTCTGTGTGAGGAGTCTATGGGTCTGTGTGTGAGGAGTCTATGGGTCTCTGTGTGAGGAGTCTATGGGTCTGTGTGTGAGGAGTCTATGGGTCTGTGTGTGAGGCGTCTATGGGTCTGTGTGTGAGGCGTCTATGGGTCTGTGTGTGAGGCGTCTATGGGTCTCTGTGTGAGGAGTCTATGGGTCTCTGTGTGAGGAGTTTATGGGACCCCAGTTTAATCGCTGCGGTTGGGGCTGAAACCCGAAATTGGAACCCAGGATCTCAGCTGTGCGATCTCAGCGTCTCTGACACGGCCTTTATGAACCTCCTGGGAGATAGAGACAGACACCTAGACCCAGGATCCGAACCCAGGCCATCCTCAATGTTGGCTCAGCGTCTCTTCACCTCTGAGCCACCTCCATTTACTCTCGTGCTTGATGAGACAACATTGAGCAAACGCTCTCTGCCTCTCACTTTCTCCCTCTCAACCCCTCCTGCCCTCTCCCCCTCTCTCTTTCCCCATCTCATTACCCCCCTCTCCATCTCTCCCTCTTTCTCTCTTCCACCTTGTCTCTCTTGCTGTCTCTCCCCCTCTCTCACCTTCTTTCTATCACCTTCGCCGAGCTATCATTTGTGATAGCCAGGTCACTTCTGACAAAGAACTACGTAGCTCGGTGGGGGCCTGACTTGGTAAAAAAAAAAAAAACATTCCCTCCATCTTAGATTTAAAGCTTTCGTGACTGCTAGGATCCATACTCTTTGGTTCTATTGGGTAAAGTCACGTAGGTGAAAATATTATTATTTAATATTATTTTCACCTACATGACTTTACCCAATAGAACCAAAGAGTATTCTCTCTCTCCCTTTGAAATCTCTCACTTTCCTCCTCTTGGATATCTCTCTCTGCCCTTGTGCTCTCTCATCCCCAGCCCATCTCTCTCATTCTCACTTTCCCACACTCTAATCAATCAATCAATCGCTTTTCTCTTAGTCTAATTCGTTATTTTCCGTTGCTCCATCTCATCCACGCTCTTTCGCTAAAGACTCTCACGGAGACGTGAAGACTCACACGGAGACGCGTAGACTCATCACACACAGACCGAAAGACTCAAGAGAGATCCATAGACTCGCAACAGAGATCCATAGACACACAGAGAGAGCCGTAGACTTACAGAGATCCACAGACTCTCACAGAGAACCACAGTGCATAACAGAGGTTTTTTGGGTTAAATCGTGTAAGGTTTGTCACGTCAAAAAAGTAGCAATTCGTTACTAGTACAGCACACCGGTGTGTTGGGAGAGTAAAAAAAAACATTTACAATTCTAGTACGACGTTTCGCCATCAATTACAACTAGCATCATCAGGTGACAGCCAGAGTTGTGGAGAAATCCTCCTGCTGTTTCGGTCTTAGAGGCGGTAAATGCGATGTCGTCACTTGTGAGCCAATCAGGTGCGAAGGCCGGGGGGTGGAGGGGTTGATGTATGTGTAATGACAGTAGAGTCAACCTATGGTGTGAGTGGACTGGTGGCCACGGGGGGTAATGACAGGGGAGTCAGCCTGCAGTGAGAGTGGACTGGTGGCCACGGGAGGTAATGACAGGGGAGTCAGCCTGCAGTACGAGTGGACTGGTGGCTATGGGAGGTAATGACAGGGGTATTAGTTGTGGGTGCGAAAGGACTGGTGGCTACGGGAATGATCGAGATCGAGAATAGGAGCGTGGCCAGGTGACGGAAGAGGACGGTGGAGTCTGCCGGCGGAGCGAGCTGTCTAGAACCAGCGAGAAGGTTCGGGATTGGGGGCGTGGCCTCGGACGGTATATAAGGGAGATGCGCGGGAGACTCTGGGCTGTTGCAGTGGGGGTCTCCGCCTGTTCGAGGGTGAGCACGTGGCTCCTTAATAAAATAAACCATCCGAAGACAAGTGCGTCGAAGTAGTCTTTACACGTGTATATACATTACAATGGGTATCCATTACTGGTTGGGTTAGTCATAGGGTAATCAACATACATTATATGCACGTACATCCTGCCATTTTTGGGTGCAAGAGATCGCAATTCCTGTTATTGTCTGCTCACAGTTAATCACCATCGACGTATGGTGACCTGCATAGGTATACAGTTAAACAGTGTATTACTTGATAATTCACTTCCAAGCAGCACTAAGCCTGTAGCTATCCGAACGGTTACAATTCTTTTTTATTTCTCTCAATTTCAATAGATTATCTAACTAGTCTTGGCCAGTAGTAATTAGTTTTTCAACATTATCAAAATCAATTGAGTGCCATTGTTGGGATGCGAGTTTTGCCACTGCCAATAAAAGACAGAGATCCATAGACTCACAGAGATCCAGAGTCTCACAGGCCCGCAAACTCTCACAGAGATCCAGAGTCTCGCAGAGATCCAGACTCACACAGAGATCCACAGACTGTCACAGAGACGCATAGACTCACACAGAGACCCATAGACTCACTGAGATCCAGACTCACATAGAGACCCATATACTCAAAGAGATCCAGTCCCACAAAAATCTACAGATTCTCACAGAGATCTTGTCTCAGAGACCCGCAAACTCTCACAGAGGAACCATAGCCTCACACAAACCCATAGACCTCGCATAGATCCAGTCTCACAGAGAACCACCGACCCACACAGAGGCCCATAGGCTCACAAAGATCCAGTCTCAGAGATCCACAGCCTCTCACAGAGATCCACAGTCTCAAGAGTTCCAGACTCACACACAGATCCACAGACTGACACAGAGACCCATACTCACAGAAAACCACAGCATCTCACAGAGATCCAGAGTTGCACAAAGATCCACAGACTCTCACAGAGACCCATGGCAGAACCAATCTTGAATCTCACCTTCGGGCAGTTCCGAGACATCCATGGCGGCATCGGCAGAATCTTCCGCCTCCTGCTCTTGTGTCGCTTGTCTCTCCTTGTCCCTCCTCCTTCCTCCTCCTCCTCCTCGCACCATGCCCACTCGCCCCTTAGATCCACCGCCACCACCGCTACCATCGTCGTCGTCGCCACCACCACCACCACCACCACCGTCGTCATCCACCTCCTGTCCGTCCTCAAGATCGTCGTTGTCATCGTTGTTGTTGTTGTTGCCTTGCTCTTTGTTCCTGGCGTCTTCCTCTTCGGCCAGATCGTCGTTGTCGTCATCAGAAGCGATGACCTTGACGACGTGCGCGGGCTTCCTAGAGCGAGAGGGAGGGCGAGAGGGAACGGTGAGGCGGTGTCTCGCGCGGCGGCGATGTCTGCGGGTTCGAATCCGACGTCCCGCCCCGGTTATCACCACGGTTCGGGCAAAACTAGACGGGAAAAAAATTGTCCGTTCACCTATAACGCCGCGTGTGGTTTTCACAACGCGAATTGGATACAACGCGATGAAGAATATATTACAGGGAACACATTTTTGTATACAACGCGGAATGCGAATTGGATACAACGCGATGATGAATGTATTACAGGGAACACTTTTTTGCATATAACTCGGAATGCGAATTGGATACGTGATGATGAATGTATTCCAGGAAACACTTTTTGTTATATAACGGCGAATGAGAATTGGATACAACGTGATGATGATGATGAATGCATTACAGGGAACACATTTTTGTTACATAACGCCGAATGCGAATTGGATACAATGCGATCGAGTGAACGGAAGTACATCGCAGTGGGAGTAAGAATAATCGGTCCTATGGCTCCCTCGGCGCAGCATCGTCACACACACGCGCCTCAGTCTTTGTTCGACGCATCTCGCATGCCATCGCGGACTGTGCACTACACCCCCTATATTATATTATTTATTATAACGCGGTGTTCTTAAAAGAACGCAACTGCCTACCGCCAAGTTATACGAGAACAGACTGTACCACGGCCACGTCCCTCTCGGTGAACGTTAAAGATTCCCGTGACATCATTCTAAAAGAGTATAAAATCTATAAACAATTTTTTATTTGCCAGCTAAGGCCCGCTGAGCTACGAAAAAAATATTTTTTCAGAAGCAACCCGAGCTGTCATAAGTGACAGCTCAACATAGTGACTTGTCATCATGTAAAAATGTATCGCAGCCAATTACTCTAAATGCGTGATGTTTGATTCTAAACGTGGAGGGAAAAACCGGAGGACCCGGAGAAAAATCCACACGACCACGGGGAGAGAGACAAGCAAACTCCAAATATACAGGTGTCAGGGTTGGCGTGGAACCCACGACCTCCTGTATACCCGGCGAGGTCGTTAACATCTTGCCACTGTGTCGTCACCTAGGATCTCATCGGGACACGGTCCCCCCCATCAGGCGAGGCTGCGTTGGCTGGGTTACGTAGCCCACATGCTCAGCCACTGCATGCCCAAGCAGCTTCTGTTTGGCCAGATAGATGGGGCTTAACCGGCACAACATGGGCTGGAGAAGAGATAACGTACAGAAGGCTGCGAAGCTGAACGAACTTGCCAGTGAGAGCGGTACTAGCTGTGTCAAGATCGGCCTCTGTGAAGGAGGCGGCTCGCGAAGGACGCTCCTGGGCAGTTGGAGGCAGTCGCCCTCCGGGAACAATGGAGGGACAGAGGGGCCACGCTCACAACGAGCGGAGCGCCGGGCGGATGAAACGCAGCGCGTTGCCACAGTGAGGAGGGACAGTTGGTGTGCATCTGCCAGTCATCTCAGTCAGCCAACCCATAACACTTGGGTCTGACCCGTGACCTCTTGCCAGCAGCGAGCCTTCCACACTTTATGCGACAGCTGCAAAGCGCACCTAGCCTGACACGGAACACCGTGGTGATGTCGCCGCTACTGAAACTACACTATTTTTTATTTTACCAGGTAATGCCAATGAGCTGTACAGCTCTTTTTCAGAAGAGACCAGGCCTCAAATGACAGCCCAACAAAAAGTGGCTCATCATCATCGCGTGGAAATGTACAACAGCCAAATACTGTAAAACGCGTGATGCCGATTCTAAATCTGGAGGGAAAAACCAGAGGACCTGGAGAAAAAATCCACGTGACCACGGACAGAGACCATAATAGAGGTTTGTGTGTTAGATCGCGTAAATATATAAACGTGTCGCTAAAACCCGCCACCACCCGACACAGCCAACTAGTAAGGGGTTGTCACGTAAACAGAACATGCCAATTCGTCACTAGCACACACACGCAAACTCCAAATATACAGCACGACCTCCTGTAATCCAGGCGAGGTAATTAACATCTCCTAGCCACTGCGGCACCCCTGAACAAGAGGGAGAGAGCTTCAGTCCACAGCAGCCACAGTGGATGATGGCCAGGACAGCAAACCACGCACGCGAGTGGGCGGATGTTGTTTGTCCGTACTATTAATTTGCGCAAATTACCGGCAATTATTTGACATGTGTCTGGCCATAAAAGACTGCTGTGTGGGGGAAGTGGTGGGGTCGATGATGGTAGAGGCAATATTTATTTGAGCATTCGGTGAGTGTCTATGTGGTGCGCACGTCAACAAATTCCAATAGAGGGGGGGAGGAGGGGGGGGGCGATACTGCCGCTTGTAAACCCAATTGAGTAATATTTTTGTAAGGTAATTTTACAGCATCGGGATGTTTGGGCCAATAGCAGTTGCATTGTCTGTGCGGGGGGGGGGGTTACTTTTTATCTATGGGAGGAAACCGGAAAACCCCTGCAGGAGACCCAAAGATTCGTGCAGAGATGCAGACTCACACAGAGATGCGTAGATTCACACAGAGATGCGTAGACTCACACAGAGATGCATAGACTCACACAGAGATGCATAGACTCACACAGAGATGCACAGACTCACACAGAGATGTGTAGATTCACACAGACATGCGCAGACTCACACAGAGATGCGTAGACTCACACAGAGATGTGTAGACTCACACAGAGATGCATAGACTCACACAGATGTGTAGACACACAGAGATGTGTAGACGCAAAGAGAGATGCATAGATTCACAAAAAGATGCCTAGACTCACACAGAGATGCATAGACTCGCACAGAGGCGTAGACTTACACAGAGATGCAGACTCACACAGAGATGCGTAGACACAGATGTGTAGACACAGATGTGTAGACACAGATGTGTAGACTCACACAGAAATGCACAGACTAACACAGAGATGCATAGACTCACACAGAGATGTGTAGACTCACACAGATGTGTAGACTCACACAGATGTGTAGACTCACACAGATGTGTAGACTCACACAGAGATGTGTAGTCCCACACAGAGATGTGTAGACTCACACAGAGATGTGTAGACTCACACAGAGATGCATAGATTCACAAAAAGTTGCCTAGACTCACACAGAGATGCGTAGACTCACACAGAGATGTGTACTCACACATAGATGTGTACTCACACAGAGATGCGTAGACACACAGAGATGTGTAGACTCACACAGATGTGTAGACTCACACAGAGATGTGTAGACTCATACAGAGATGTGTAGACTCACACAGAGATGCACAGACTCACACAGAGATGCACACTCACACAGAGATGCATAGACTCACATAGAGATGCGTAGACTCACACAGAGATACGTAGACTCATACAGAGATGTGTAGACTCACACAGAGATGCATAGACTCACACAGAGATGTGTAGACTCACACAGATGTGTAGACACAAAGAGAGATGCATAGATTTACAAAAAGATGCCTAGCCTCATACAGAGATGTGTAGACTCACACAGAGATGCATAGACTCACACAGAGATGCCTAGACTCACACAGAGATGCGTAGACTCACACAGAGATGCACAGACTCACACAGAGATGTGTAGACGCAAAGAGAGATGCGTAGACTCACACAGAGATGCGTAGACTCACACAGAGATGCGTAGATTCACACAGAGATGCATAGACTCACACAGATGCGTAGATTCACACAGAGATGCACAGACTCACACAGAGATGTGTAGACGCAAAGAGAGATGCGTAGACTCACACAGAGATGCGTAGACTCACACAGAGATGCGTAGATTCACACAGAGATGCATAGACTCGCACAGAGGCGTAGACTCACGCAGAGTTGCGTAGACACACACATAGATGCGCAGACTCACACAGAGATGTTTTGACGCAAAGAGAGATGCATAGATTCACAAAAAGATGCCTACTCACACAGAGATGCATAGACTCACACAGAGATGCGTAGACTCACGCAGAGATGCAGACTCACACAGCGATGCACAGACTCACACAGCGATGCACAGACTCACACAGCGATGCATAGACTCACACAGATGCGTAGACTCAGAGATGCATAGACTCACACAGAGATGCATAGACTCACACAGAGATGCATAGGCTCGCACAGATGCGTAGACTCACACAGAGATGTGTAGACTCACACAGAGATGCGTAGACTCACACAGAGATGCACAGACTCACACAGAGATGTGTAGACGCAAAGAGAGATGCCTAGACTCACAAAAAGATGCCTAGACTCACACAGAGATGCGTAGACTCACACAGAGATGCGTAGACTCACACAGAGATGCGTAGACTCACACAGAGATGCGTAGACTCACACAGAGATGCGTAGACTCACACAGAGATGCGTAGACTCACACAGAGATGCGTAGACTCACACAGAGATGCACAGACTCACACAGAGATGCACAGACTCACACAGAGATGCACAGACTCACACAGAGATGCGTAGACTCACACAGAGATGCGTAGACTCACACAGAGATGCGTAGACTCACACAGAGATGTGTAGACTCACACAGATGTGTAGACTCACACAGATGTGTAGACTCACACAGAGATGTGTAGTCCCACACAGAGATGTGTAGACTCACACAGAGATGTGTAGACTCACACAGAGATGCATAGATTCACAAAAAGTTGCCTAGACTCACACAGAGATGCGTAGACTCACACAGAGATGTGTACTCACACATAGATGTGTACTCACACAGAGATGCGTAGACACACAGAGATGTGTAGACTCACACAGATGTGTAGACTCACACAGAGATGTGTAGACTCATACAGAGATGTGTAGACTCATACAGAGATGTGTAGACTCACACAGAGATGCACAGACTCACACAGAGATGCACACTCACACAGAGATGCATAGACTCACATAGAGATGCGTAGACTCACACAGAGATACGTAGACTCATACAGAGATGTGTAGACTCACACAGAGATGCATAGACTCACACAGAGATGTGTAGAC